ATATTTTTAAGTTATTTTGACACGTTTTTTATCGGCTCAATAAAAATTTCTCATATATTTTAAAAACTCTCCACTTCCTTATTATCAAAATAAATAAAGAATTTTTATTGAGAAAGATACCACATGTTTTTAAAACCCTCCACCTTTTTATTATCAAAAGAAATGAGGAGTTTTTATTGGGAGAAATACCAAATATCAAATATCCTAAAGGTAAATATACTTCATTAGTAAGAATGGATACTTGAAACGTAAACGACAAAAGAGAGAAAAGGTTACTCATTTATTCAGTGTTCTTTTTTTAAAAAAATAGATTTGAAAATTTTAGAAAATAGAAGATTGATTTCAAAAACTTGATTGTGGGTATTGAAAAGGGTTCTTTTCTATTGCCAGTGACCGACTCAGGAAATTTTGTGAGGAGGGGTGGTCTTTTAATTTGTGGAAACAAATTTATAAAGTGAGTCTATTTTTGTAATTTCAATGGAGTTTTTTTTATAATTTTTTTAAAATTTAAAGTATAAAATGCTTTAAAAAAAAAAAAAAAAAAATATTAATGGGAATGAATTGTAATATTAGTGGGGACATCTTAAAAAAAAATTAAAATTTTGAAGTATAAAATGTAAAAAAAATCATCTAGTGGGGGCGAATTATAATTTTAGTGAGTACGTCTTCATAAATTTGTAAAAAAAATTGAGGTAAAAAATAAAAATATGAAAAAATCAGTGACCCCACTAGTCCTATGCTAGATCAGTGCCTATCTATTGCACCTATTTTTAGAGAGACTGATTCCAAAATTCGAACTCTTGCCACTGCAAGAGAACAGATGAGGATTTTATCACCTCCATCGTGAGCATAAAATTTAATGAATTATTTATGATCCAGAAAATGAAAAAGAAAAATAAAATAATATACAAAAGGCGATGGCAAATGGGTTCTTGAAAAAGGTAGCGAAGGATATTTTAAAATGTCATTTTCGCATATAGTAATCGAAATTCAAATTTTCATTGTCCCTGGAAAGCAAAACCATATTTAGTGCCGCAATTTGTAGCATGACTAGTGATTGGAACTTGGAAATGTCTCCTATTATCAACAATACTGTTCCTTTTTGTCTTTACTTGTATTTCTTTTGACCTGAAATTTCAAAATTCATTGTTAACGGCTATATATATTTGAGGATGCGCTACCATTTTTCGACGGCTATATCAATCTCTCTCTCTCTCTCTTTTTATTTTTATTTTTATTATCAATCTCTCTTTTTTTTTTTTTGGTCCAAAGGAATTCTAAAACGTATCTTAGTTCATTAATAATTGTGTGTGTATATATATATATGTATTATGTATCAATATTAGTCATGTGTATATATATATATGTATTATGTATCAATATTAGTCATTTTAAGTCCAGTTTGAATAATATGTCAAATTATGATTGATCATGACTATATATTAATGGACAATACTTAAATTTTCACACCATTCTAACCGATGGTGTGGACCAATAATACATGAGCACATCCTCTTTTAATTACTAAATTAGATTTGGTAATTAATCACCATATCTGATTTGATAAGTGAATATATATCTCATCATTTTTTATTTACTAATTAAAGATGACGTGCTCATATGTTATTGGTTTAAATCAGTAATTAGAATGATGTAGATAATCTAAGTATATCTCTATATTAATTTCTTGAAAGGAGCTTGGACTCCGACATGAACAACATGTGGGTGAGTAACCGGATTAAAGTGATCATTTTTTTTATAAACAAATAAATAGCCATTAATAATATAAATCAAAATGAAATTTAATACTATTTTTATGTAGAATTTCTTGTACATATTCGTCAAATTGGCCAATCCAAACAAGAAAATGGCCTAACTTTGTATAAAACACAATTTTCAAAGAACGTGGAAGAATAATGGTATTGAGAAATTTCTTACCTAATTTTAGGCCACTTGACAAGAAATGTTAGAGATTTATGCGATAGTAGAATTACTATTTTATCCATAAGAGTGGAAAGAAAAAGAATAATTATTACATCATTTCGAAATTATATTAGTCTCCAACTAACCAAATATAATTAAATATGTTAATTTTATATTAAATTGGTTTAATTTTTTATTATGTGTCGACCAGTGATTCAGTGACACTAATAAAAAATTAAATCAATCACTAATAAATCCTGATTCATAATAATTTTATAGAATCAAAATTCTAAAATTACTCTCTCATCATAATTCAACGAGCTATCATTTGCAAGCTCAAAGGCGAATTCAGGGAATAGTTATGTAGGTTTGAGTCTCCAAAAAAATAAAAATAAAAGTAAAAATTATTATAGATAATTTTAGCTCAATCCAATATATGTATATATATTATAATAATATTAATCCATCCCAAAATATATTTTTGGGTCCGCCATTGTGCTGGCCTAATAATGTCATAGAGCTAATTGGCGCAAAATGATTTCAAAGTTTGATCTTTTCGGTCTCCCCCATTTATTATTTCGCATTTAATGGAACCAACAATAGGCAGTGGGATATTGGTATAATAATATGTTTTGGTAGATCAAAAATAAAATCTTCCCAAACAACCATATTATTATATTTGTAAATTTAAAAGCTATTTTGTTGATGAAGGCTTTCAAATGTTAGTGCCATAAGGAGTAAATTTATGGGAACAACTTTATGTTTTGGAATGTGTTTAATATTATAAGGAAGTATGTTTGGTAATATATATTTGTTATAAGATTTTTAGAAATAAAAATAGAGAAATGATACGTCTTCTGACCTCAATTATCGACTCATCTTATGAATACAACGTGGTTGAATCACATTGGAACTCTTAAAACAAAATCTCGTAAACATCTATTCCTCTTCGACTCATTTTCAACCACGTTGTATTAGGAGAATGAGTTGGCAATTAAGGTTAGAAGACCTATCACTTCTCGTAAAAAAAATAAGAAAATGTGTTTGGTAATAAAATAATGCAAATTTAAAAAATTAAATAGGTAAAAAAAAATATATGAAATTGTGTTTGATAAAAAAATGCTGCAAGTTTAAAAAATAAAATGGCTAATTTTTGTTTTTTTATTTTTTACCAAACATATTATTAGAAACAAAAAATACATGAAAATGTACCTTAAAATATTTGTACATGGTGTAAAACTTAGAGAGAGATTGTCACATCATTAAACAAATTGATTGAACCTCATTTGATCAAAGTACAAACTTACAAAATTTAAAATTTAAAATTAAAAAATTAAAAATAGAAGAGCATAGCAATGGCATAATGTGGCTGACTGGCTATACATTACAGACACAACCTTCAAAATGATTACCCACTAAGTTCAAAGTATCTTTTCAAATAATTGAAAACGTAAAATAGCAGTAATTAACTGTTTAAATTCAAACTAACACTTCAATAAATATTGAATGCGTTAGATGTATCAAATGAGAATAGATATTGAATACTTCAACAAATTATGTCATTAACATATTTTAAATAAGGTAAATTATATTAACACTATTTTGAAGTTGCGTGATATTTCACTTATATAGATATTTTAATTTGAACTTTCACATACATTAATTTAGTATTTCACTTGTACCTCGAATATAAAAAAAATAAAAATGTCAGTTTTTTTTGTCAGGTCAGAATACACTTTTGAAGTGTTAAATAATTATACTACCATTTGGATCCACTGTTGACTTTAAAAAAGGGTGTTTGAATATTTTTATGACAAAACTACCCCCAACATATACCGCGGCCCCACCCAACATCTCCATCACCACCGCCCCAGCACATTGTTCCTTCTGTTGTATTCTCTATTGTGTATTGATTAAGTGATCCTGGATGAAACTTCCAACCGTGGTTTTCAAGAATCTAACGATATCCTTTTGGTCCGTTGCAAACCAATAATTTCCAGCCATCTTCGAGAACTTGATCCTAACAAATGAGTTCCCACTTAATGTGAAATCATACGTACGTAGTCAGTCAGCTTATTTATACCAAAACTGCTAACAATTCTAAGTATTAACTCAAAAGAAGCTCAAAATTCAAACCTAACACCTCCATCACCACCGCCCCCACCCAACACCTCCATCACCACTACCTATCCCCATGCCAATTTTTGATTCAATCGCATTTCAAGACCTTTTTTTTTTCACAGCTTTCATGACTTATTGATTGGATCGACATCACCCTTAAAAACACAAAACCCCAGGGAAATTCAGCCGCTTGGCAACGGCGCCGGTCACCGCCGTGGAATCGATGAATACTTTGAATGGGTGGGTCGAGAAGTCGACCCGGACTGGACTCGGCAATGCTCCATGAGCTCGTAGCCAAGGATTCCTTTGGGGAAGCCGGGAAAGTTCTCAACATCGATGGTGGTGGTCAGCTGGCCGCCGGGGGCGATGCCGTTAGCCATAAAACCCTCAAAGAGGATGGGCTTGAGCTCGGCGCGGACGGCGGTGTGCGCCGCTGCCGATGATTGTTTGGAACTTTCAAGAGGGTGTCATTGAGGGGTGTGGGTTTTATATATTAAGTAGGGGCAGTTTTGTCATTTAAGATTATTAATATTTTATATTAAGTTGTAATAAAAAGTTAAGAATAAATAGAACAATTTGCATGTGTCATAATTCAAAAAGTAAATTAGATTATAAATCAAAATCAAAATCTTCATATAGTTGTGATATAATTAAAGTGTAAATTAACCCTTTTAAATATTAAGGATCAAAATTTGTTTGCGTTTTTAGAGTACAAAATAAAATACTACTTTATTTCTGTACAAAAAGCCCAAATCACACCCGATACTGTGGAGGTGCATTTTACACAGGTCCTTAAATTAGTGCTTGTTTATACTTTGTTTTATCAAATATTAAAGTAAAAAAATTTCATTACAAATATCAAACAATCCTATAATGCCAATGAAAAGCACTAAAAACCCCTAGTAAAAACGATGCGTGTGTTTCTACTGACAAGTGTGGTGAATTTAAAACACATAAACAAAAAACTCTATATATAAAATGTGTATATATATATATATATATATTACATATATTGGTGGAACAAGCATGATCTTTGTTTGAGGAACTCCAAAAGCAAGCACAAAGCAAACACTAGCTAGCGACACTAACAACCCCAAGTTAAAGTATCAAAGGTGCTCAAAATCATGCTATCCTCCACAGCCGTCTGATCAAAGTCATACCCTGCACCAAAGTCAGCCTCATGCACCCTCCACGACGGATACAGCCACCCGTCCACCACCGAGTCAGCCAGTATCAACTCGGAACGTGACTCGGGCGAGTCAAAGCTCCCTTCCAAACTCGGCAACTCGATTATTTGACTCAGTTCATCCGGTGCCGCCGTCGTCGTGGACACATCCGCGTCCGACGATAACGGCGACGGCAATGACGAGGACGCTGTTGACGACGAATTCAGTGAGCTGGACAGCTCCGTTGCAGTTGCTGCTGCTTTGGCCGCAGCGGCCTGAATGTCGCGTGGCGAGAGTGACGCCGGACGGGGCAGTGACTCAGTGAGTTCAGGGAAGTTGAGAATTGCTGACTTACCTTTGATACTCAGCGCCGCCACGTCGTGGGCTCGAGCCGCCATTTCCGGGTTCGGGTAAGTACCGAGCCATATGCGTGATTTCTTGCGAGGCTCGCGAATTTCGGACACCCATTTGCCCCAACTACGCATACGAACGCCTCTGTAAACCGGGTGTTTGTAACTATCTCTTGCTCGTTTGGGTCTGTTCTCTACTGGGTTTGGAGCTGAAGAGTCCGAGACCGAGTTTGACACGGACTGAGTTGACCCAGTTGAAGATAGTGAAGAAGATGAGACTGTGCTGGTACTGGCTTTAGCTTCTGAAGTTTGCGGTTCAGCCATTGTTGGTAGTGGTGAGTCGTGACTCACTAGTAACTCGTTCTGGGTAAATGCATGAAAGTCAAAACTCAGTCACCAATGATTTTGTACAGAATATCCGAATATGGGTGTCAATGAATCAATGCAAGTCTCTGGGAATTAGAGAGAGAGAGAGGGGGGTTTGTGTTTTGCCAAATAGAGACTATGGTTATGAATCAAAAAGGAAAGAGGACTTAGAGGGAGAGACTAAAAGACAGTCACATAGAGAAGAAGTACCCGTTGAGAGAGAGAGATATGATGATGATTTTCTGATTGTGTGTATGTATTTATGTGCGTGTATATATAAATATATATAGAGAGGGAAGGAGGGTAGAGAGAGAGAGAGAGAGAGGTATTGGAAGGTTATACGCGCTTACTAATAGTGACCTTCGAGCTACCATCAGATTGAAGTCACTGTGAGAGAAACAGACTAACAATGGGGAGAGAAACCATAGGGCTATATTGGAGAGGGACCCACCAAAGAGATGGGTGACCTATGGTACAATGGGTCCCACACTCGTTTGTACCAACAACAATCGCCCAATAAAATTTCCCCATCTTCTATCATCTACGTCCACGTTTTATATGTCCGTTGGGAGCAATATTCATTTCATATTTTGCCCTTTATGCTGTTGGCCAAACCAAAGATTCGATCAGAGGTTCTTTACACTATCCAATGGTAAATCAAATTTAACCATTAACTAAATAGTGGTGAAATTCCAAAATGTGAAATTTAATCATTATAAACTGAAATTTGCTTTTGTTGTGTTTGAAAGTGTCAGATTAGTATTTTTGATTTAGGATTAGAAGAATTTAGTTCAAATGCTGTATTAATTTTTTTCTAATTTTTAATTCAAACATAACATTATTAATATTGATGAATTTATAAACAGCAAGAAATTACAAAAAAACATTATTGAGAGATAATTTTGATTTCTACTTGTTAGCTCATTACCATTTTTACCTTCCCAATGACAACCATGATTAAATAATCCGAAACCTATTTAAAATTTCTATGATTCCATAATTTGACAAATCATTTATTATTGAATTAATATTCAATTTTATCGGATATTTGATTCAATATCAAATTTGTTAAGTGTAATTAAAAAAAAAATTAAGAGAAAAGAGATTACATATTTGATTTGTTAAATTAATAGATTATTGGATTTGGATCATTAAAGAATTTTTAAATTAAATATTCAATCTATATATATATATATATATATATATATATATATATATAAAAGGGAAGTTAAGAGAGGAATTAATTAGGATGGTTATGTCATTTAGAGCTAAGTGAGGTTCGTTTATTATATATAACTTGGATTTAAGAGCAAATTGAAGTTTGTGGTTGAGCTTTCTAATATCGGTTTCATGGTTGAATTTGGTTACAATCAAGCCGGAATAGCCATCGTCTCTGTTGCTTTAATGGTGCATGTATTTGGATAATTATGAGGAAAGAAAAGGAAATTACACGTTTACTTGTTAAAAAAGGAAAGAAAAGCTGAGATGTTTTGATAAGTTGGGGAAAAATAGAATTTGAAAAAGATAGTGGAGGGAAAACAAACACAAAAACAAAAAAATGCAGGATAATAATTATATTTACCAGATTGTCTAAATAGTAGGGACTTTCCTTATAATTTCAAATGTAACATTTTCTGGTTAGTGTTGATTTTTGTAATACTTCTATATTTTAAAGGAATTATTTATTGAGATTAATTATTTTTATTTTATTTTAAATGATTTGTTTGATTTTATTTTAAATAATTTGTTTGATTTAATTGAGTGTTGTGATTAATTGTCTTTAAATTATATTTCGTTTTTTACTTGTTGACTTGAAATGATATTTTGCTTTCTGAAATGCTATGAGTGGGTTGTTTATTTGGCTATGTATGTATTTATGTTTATGTGATTTAATTGTGAATTATTTTTAATTAATAGATTTAATTTAATTATTTTATTTATTTAACTTAATGGACTGGACTTGAAGATGTATTAAAGGATTTGGTAATAGGCTTTAATGGGAAGCCTTAGAGGATTGAGAAGGCTTAGAGGGCCATGAATTTATGCCTGAATATATATATATATATATATATATATATATATATATATAGAGAGAGAGAGAGAGAGAGAGAGAGAGAGAGAGAATATGTTAGAGTTATTAGAGAAGTTTTAAAACTTCTAACTCTAGAAATTCTATTGGTTAGAAATTCAAAAGTCCTTAACTAATTAACTATCGATGATAATAATTAAATTAAACGCTATAATTGTTAAGCCAAACGGCACATTTAGGTTTATACCTGTTGATGAAAAGAAGTGATAAATTTTATTAATATGTAGGTTTTGATTAGCGAAAAAATCAATAAAAAAAACAAGTTATCTTCTAGTCTCATAAAAACTATTGCAATTATATTCTCTCTGTAATCATACAGTCTACTCCTACTATATATATATTCTCAATTTCTCTGGGCAACGTTACATCAAAACTTGATGAAAACTTCTTTATGATCATACGCATAGGGACCATTGGAGTTGTTTCTTGGAGTTTTTGGTGAATCGTAATTACCTGCACGTAAGGGAGACTTCAAAGGCTTTAGGATAGCGTATTGCGTGCTTCTCCATCTAACAGGCCAGAACTATCTTTCTATGTGATCTGTTTTGATACAATTATATTTATTGTTTAATTATTATTAAATATTAATTGTTTTATTATAATTATTCTCTTATTTGAAAACATCTTTCCCATTCCATAAATAGAAAGTATTTTACAATTTGAAAATTAATATCCCTAACAATCTAAAGCCTTTGAAATACTATTGTTGAGTGCTTAGATATTTTTTCTATTGTTTTAATTTGGTAATTTATTATTCACACACCACAATTAATTTTGATTCTGTTGATTTAAGTTATTTACCCTGTTTGTTTTTCCATTTAGATTGTTGCTGTGAATATATATATATATATATATATATATATATATATATATGATTGTTGCCGTATATATATGTATGTATATATATATGATTGTTTACATATGACATTTGCATATGCACTGATATTGTATGAAAAAGAGATTATTACTTTAATAAAAACTTACTGATAGAATCGTTACCTTATAAAATCATTACTTTATAAAAAAAGATTGTTGCTTTATAAATTGTTATCAGCATATTGCATAAATTATTTTCAATTTAACTTTTTTTTTAGTGAGTAATTTTAAATTAGAAACAGATTGTTTTGATTTATTTTTTCTTAAGATCTTTCATTTTGAAAGTTAAATATTATTGTTTAAATAATAATAATAATAATTTGTTGAATTATTTTTTAACCTGTTTCAAATTTATTGAATGTCTTGTTTAGAACACAAATAATTTATTATTATATGCTTCACTGTCACTTGAATTGGAAGATATTATTTATATATATATAAAAAGATTAGAATTTTATAGTGACATATTTCTTTTAGTTTCTAACAGATTTATATATCTTGATTTGCTCTTTGTATTTTTTAGGAAATATGAATATGTCTAAATTGGAAGCTGCTAATATTGTTAAACCAGAAAAGTTTAGTGGTGTGAATTTTAGAAGGTGGTAAAAACAAATAAAATATTGGTTGACTGTCTTAGGACTTACATCTGCCTTAGGAGAATCTCAAGGTAACTTAGAGTTGTCCTCATAGTTAACTCCTGAACAAATTGAATTTCATTGCCACAATAGAATTTTAAGTGCACTATCGGATCACCTTTATGATGTCTATCATACCACTAGTAGTGCCAAAGACCTTTGGAATGCCTTAGAAGCAGAATATGGAATTGAAGATGTTGGTGTAGAGCGATTTGCTATCTCAAACTTTAATAACTATCAGATGGTGGAAAATAAAAGAGTAAGTGATCAAATCCATGAATTTCAAGAGCTACATAGGAAAGTGGAAAGGAAAGAAACTAAGTTAAGTGAGGACTTTAGAGTGTCCTGTCTTATTGAAAAATTACGACCTTCTTGGTCTGATTTCGCTAGGTCCCTTAGACATAAACAAGGAGATCTAACCTTAACCCATGTAATTAATTCACTGAGGGTTGAAGAAAAACATAGGTCAAGTGCCTAAAGTGAAAATGAGAAGACAACTAAAGTAAACTTAGTTGAAAATACAAGTAATTCAACAATAGGAATCACTTTAGACCTAAAGGGCGGAATTTTAAGCGAACTACTAGAAATAACAACCACCACAAACATTTTAATAAGAATGTCCAGAATAATCGGAATAATAAATTCAAAAATACTAAGGGCAATGAGGATAAACATTGCTATGTCTGTGGGAGGATCAATCACAAAGCGAGGGATTGATTTTACAAGAAAACTGAAATGTACAAGCCCTGGTATAAGTCTTTTCAAAATCAGAGAGGTTTTAAAGCTCAAGTTAATGTGTTAGTGGATTAAGAAAATTCAAATGAAAATGCATTAAGGTATAATCTCAATCCAACTATTAATTACACTTACCACAACAGAGATTGGTGGTTAGATTCTGGGGCTAATGTACATGTATGTTTTGATCATGATTGCTTTAAAACTTTTCAGAACTTAAGTGGAGGAAGTGTAACTCTAGGGAATGATTCGGTTGCACGTGTACTTGGAATTGGAGATATAAAGCTAAAGATGGCTTCTGGAAAGATTTTGGTTCTCAAGGATGTGCAACATGTTCGTGAAGTGAGAAGAAATCTTGTTAGTGGATCGTCCTTCGTGTAACAAGGATATAAAGTTGTAATGGAGTCTAATAGAATAGTGATTACTAAGAATAATATTTTTATTGGAAAAGGTTATGTTACCGAAGGTTTGTTTAAGATGAATGTGACTTTTGAAGTTAATAAGAATTCTCTTCAAGTTTTTAGTGTTGAGTCTTGTGATATATGGCATAGAAGATTAGGACATGTAAACTTGAAGAAAATTAAAAGATTAATGGATTTAAATTTAATTCCAAAGACTGAGATTGATTTGAAGCAAAAATGTGAGGTGTGTGTTCAAGCAAAGCAACCTAGAAAACATTTTAAGTCTATTAAAAGAAATATCCAACTTTTAGAATTAATTCACAATGATGTATGTGATTCAAATAGACCTCCAACTAGAGGTGGGAAAAAGTACTTTGTGACATTCATAGATGATTGTTCAAAATATTCTTATGTATATCTAATTAAAACAAAGGATGAGGTGTTTGAAAATTTTAAAGTGTACAAAAATGAAGTAGAGAATCAACTAGAGAAGAAAATTAAAAGACTTTGGTCCGATAGAGGAGGAGAGTATCCATGGAATGTTCTTGGTACATTCTGTGAAGAAAGTGGAATTATACATGAAGTTACTGCCCCTTATTTACCT